CCCACTCAATAAAAAATATATATTATAATAATAAAATTACATATAATTAATATCATAACAAAATGATGACACTAAAAGAAATAAAAATCATTTTAAAGCAATAAGTTTGAAAAAATATTCAACTTCCAACTCGCCGTCTTCAGGGAGGTCAGTACAATGTACAGCATTCTGGACCGTTGTTTTGCCATACAGAGCCCTTATAGACTCTGGGTATAACTGACGACCTAAGTCCTGTAATATTAAAGCTGCTATTTAGGGTTAGATATTTTACATTATTTAAAATTAGAACAATTCACTGACGTCACAACCTAATACTTTCGCCAGCGAAATTTAAAAAAAGATTTTACTATTCACCTCACTAGCTCGGAAGGGCTTTCTTCTTTCTCATTAGAAATCTGCGCGAAAAGGTTTTTGAAATTCGAACTTGACGATAGACTGAGCAAATAACTTTCTTTCGATAAAGATAAGATAACGACACGCTCAACTACGCGATTTGTCGTACATTACTTATTTATGTAATATAAATCCGTTGGTATATTTTATTCTTATTGTTGTTGTCATTAAATTGACAATGACAAATAATTGTGCTTATTAAAATTATTTTCATTCGTCGAAGAAGTAAAATAATTTCAATAATCACTTAATCACATAAAATAAAAGTACAAGCAAGAATAAAAATTGATGAGATGTAAATTCAGAAGTTTGTCTTCGCATCCGAAGACAAACTTCTTTTAATAAAAAAACTGATGTTTTATAATTTAACTGTTTTTCTTTTATCTACCATTTTCTTCGTTTGAGGTGAAAAGTCGTGTGTTTCGCTCGGCAGCACAGTTGTTTTGCGTCTCGTGCCTTGAAACACTCGCTTCGCTCAGAATTCTATTTTCGAATCGTAGCGGCCTTCGCTTGCCCAGGTTTCAATACAAGCACTCGTGTCAATCAATCAATTTTAAATTTATTGGATTTGATTTCTCTTCAAGCATTGTGTAACAATAAATAATATAAGTAAACACTGTGCGTTGTTAGCGTACAAGTACAAATACTCACTGGATCCCTGGGCCCGCATAATTTTCTAAATTCACAAACAACATTCACATTAGGGTCTTTGCTTTTTAACTCCATAGCAATGAATCTGCCCTCAGTTAGCTCGATGCACATGGCCTAGAAGTAAATCAATAGCAAATTGACTTTAGATAAATTAATTTGGAAGCCGCAAAAACCGACTTCTTTAATTATTAAAATTCAGCTTAAAAAGGTACTAAATACTACTTAATACTTAAATTAAAAATAAATTCGTGTAAAAACTAACTACAAAAACTCGCCATTTTTTTACTTCTTTGATATTTGTCGCGGGCACTTCTAAATTTAAAATTAGAACGTATAATTAATTTGATAACGGGCTTAATGACTAATTATGGTACACAATTTCGTTTCTATTATAGAAAATTAAGTACTGATAAAATCTCTTTCCCTAGCTAGCATGTTAATTAAGTCTTATTTATACCTTAGATAAGAAAAATAATGGTCTTCTGATGTTAACACACTTATTTTCAAAAGTGTACCTTTAAAATACCCTAAACTTGATATTTATTTTATGAAGTAAATTCAGCCAAACTGTGAAGAAATATCTCAGCCTAGATTTCATATAAGAATAATTCGTCGTATTATTCATCTGACAGTCTGACATGACTGAATGCTACTGAGGTGCATAATTAACATTTTAAATCGACCAGAGGATGTCATTGATCAGATATTCAAAAATAAAAATATAACTATTTTTTCGGATCTAAACCGCGTATATTTTAAACAATCCAATTACTTCGGGCCCTTATCAAGCCCGTGGTCACATTATATCAGCCAGGACCAGGGTACATGTAAAGAGCCTGAAACAATTGAAAAAACAAATATACTTACGCGACTTTGATCTGAAAAAAATGTTTATATTCGGATATGATGATATAAAAATGTTTAGTATCTCTGTTTCTGCGTTACCTCTGTCTAACTTTCTGTCTAATAAATAATAAACGAACTATATCGTGATGGAATCATCCCGGAAGTATACTTTTCAATATTCAAGAAGTTGCAAGTTGCCGCGAGGCATGCATAGAAACTTCGCCCCTACCGTGAAAAAGTTTTATCTTAATTTCTACAAGTCCAATTTAAAAATCTACTTGCTCTTGTAATTCTGTTCAAAACTTTTCTTTAATAAATTATTTATGGAGGGCCTAAATGTGGGAGTGGAGCAACTTGGTCAAGAAGGATTAACATTTGAAAGCTTTCTGTTCCATAGTTATTACCACAGATTATTTAACTGTTACTACGTAACTGATACTCTCATAAATAAAATAGAAATACCTACGCTATAATAGTTTACTAAATCTTCTGCCTAATGACATCAGGCGACCACTATGAGAAAAAAGGAACCTAAGCACGCGCTCAGAGAGGTGAAAATTACGTTGCCCGCCGTGGGCAGTCATGCGGAACCGAATGCTGGAGTTGTAATGTAAATGAAAGACTTGCCCGAGCGCTTACACTGTCGACGATACATTCAGCGGTAGGCACTTATCGCGTAATGTCTAGCGAGGGACGGAGCGCTGCTATTACGTTGTTTTAACTTATTGTACGAATTATAGTCAGGAGGAGTCGTCTGCTCTCATCAAACATTTAGTCCGGACTGCATTCGTCGTCCTTTGACCAAAAAAGCCAGTCTAATTTTGAATTCCTGTCAGTCCAGTGAGTTTATCTTTGTGGCCAATCAGGCTGCTGGTCATCAATAAAAGCTAGACGTGACACTTGTTGATAACAACATTTAAAATTAAATAAGAAAACCCGTTATACATAACAGTCTGCTCCAAAAAATCAGTAAAACCACTTTATGTTAATTTAGCCTAAATATTATGGTTTTAATGTAGTAGTTGTGGAGTTGGGTAGTCTGCAGACTGTCTCGGCTGCAGCATTGGATTAAGGTTGCCATATTATCGTAATGTCATTGGATATCCATAATAGATTTCAAGTCGATCAAATAAGTAGAAGGAATAGTACATTGTATATTAAGGGCGGTAAATAAGAAGTTACCAACGAGAGCCTATTAACAGCCCGAAGCCGAAGGCTGAGGGTTTCAATGACCCGAGTTTGGATTTTTTACCGCCCGTGCTACGTACGTTATTCATCACATTTGCGAGGAAATAAATATAAGAGAAAAAATATTTCTTGTATGAATAAATATCGCTTTACAACATAACAATGAAAAATTTTGCAAATTTGGCGGATTTTTAGGGTTTTTTTTTATGTAAGCAGATGGCCAGCTATTCTTCCATAGTTAATACAACTCGAACGAAAATGCTGCAAAAGTATGCCTAGACTCGGCATAGAGCCCACCTGAGAGACCATTGTCAATGGTATTAAATCTTTTTAATCACACTTGCTCGTAAATGGTACAACTGCATGGTGGCTAACTTGATTCTAGTGCCCCAAATAAAAACTTCGGGCCTTTTTCCTTCCCATTACAGCTATGGTTGGTAAAGAGATTTTTTAATTTGTAGCACGACATACTTCCTTATATATGTATAGGTCAGGTACAAGTTCAAGCAAGGAGGTTACTTAAATTCAAATTAAAACATTTGCTTAAAATGTTATATAAATAGAAATTTAATTGTAATTCAGCCACATACTAAACAAATATTAATTATTAAGAATTTCTTATAATTGATTTTAATTATTTTTAACCGACTTTAAAAAAAAAGAGGACGTTATACGTTTGGCGTTCGGCTATATGTACGTTTCTTGTATGTTTTCAGATATCTCCGTCAATTGTGGATCGATTTTGGAAATTCTTTTTTTGTTCAAAAGGGTGCACTCTCGTGGTGGTCCCATTGTCGCCAAGTCAGAATCTGACGAGGGGATCCCATGAAAATCGAAGGAAACCCACAAATTTTATAGGCATGTCCTTGTATTCGCCAATTTCTCCATCAATTGTGCACCGATTTTAAAAATTACTTTTTTGTTTGAAAGGGTGGTCTCGAGGTGGTCCCTGATGCTGTTCCGGGTTCGTCTCGGCTATCACAAATTACTAATTAACAAAAAAAATGTTTTTTTTTTACATACAATTAAAAAGTTACAATTATCCGTACAAAAATTTAGCAATTTTTTTACAATCCATCATGGCTGCATGCGTCTTTGCTTTTTACAACATTTTAGTTCGAGTTGTGTTATCTATGCAAGAACAGCTAGTTGGCTATCTGTTCATAAAAAAAAAAACAAAAACCCTCCATTTGCAAAATCCATAATTGATGTCTTGGGAACCATATTTATTCATACAAGAAATAAACATTGTATTTATTTCCTCGCAAATGTGATGAAAAGCATTATACGTATCACGGACTGTAAAAAAATACAAAACTGGAGTTATGAAAGCCCTTAGCCTTCGGCTTCGGACTTCTAACAGACCTTTGTCGGTAAGGTCTTATTTACCGTCCTTAATCTTTCAATATAATTCTTAACACAATTTCTATTATAATTAATATTCACAGGTTAATTTCATTTATTTATATCCTTACATACGCTTCAGCAGCTGAACGAGGAATTTTTTACAATGTGTACCATTGTTCAACTTTGAACATCATGTACTTAACAACAAAACGCAAGATCGGCAACAAGTGCAACATTGTAACATAATTAACTACTTAACAGAAAAGAGCTTCATCGGCAACCAACACACATAGCACACTAAGAAAAACCTATCATTATATATTAGTCATAAAAATTGTATAAATAGTAATAAGAATTGTAAATATACTCAGTTATCCACTAACATCTGATTTTAACTCATCATCCTGCTTAGTACTACCCGCTACTCCTCTCACTGTGGCCAAGGCACTCTCAGCCGTCAGTAGATCGATCTTGTAAGTCTGCTTGACCGGCTGTGAGAATACCATTCCAGTACACATTGCACGACGTGTACTTCCTTACCTGCTTCCAACCTTCCGTTTGTCACCTGAGGTCTCATGGCGACAGACTTCCCGTTCATATCTAGCATATATATTTCTCCGACAATATATTTATTGTTAGGTTAGGTTAGGCTACACACCGCTCGAGCGGGAAGCGCATGCGGGACCAGTGGAAAGAGGGCTTGGCGGATCCCCCTAAGGCGCTCGTACCATAGGGGCGATCCGCCCTGTCCTCGTAGAGTGGGTGAACCGGTCCCACGGGCCACTGTCGTACCACCTTGTGCAGGTGCTGACCGGGCACCGCCGCTTCGGTCACTATCTGCACAAGGTGGCGGGGAGGGAACCGTCTCCGTCGTGCCACGAGTGCGGTGCTGCGGCGGATGACACCACGCAGCAAACAATTTTTTTTTTACGTGGGAAATCTTTATAGATACCCCTGAGCCCAGGGAGACTCAGGGGTTATGTGGGGACTCTCCCTCCAGACTGCAGGACCTACCTTACTAAAACCCGCCGGATTTACCTTCCGCCGGTTGAGTCGGCGCCATGAGGTCGGTGCACATTCACCACGACGCTGCCCGGCCGCCCTAGTTCTTGCGCCAGGGCTCCCGCGCCAACGGAGGGGCAGGTCAGTTGTCCTCCAACCCGCCCCCCAGACGAGTGAGGCCGTGCAATGCAGGCTCCGGAGTCCCTGTCCAGAACCCGCTGGCCTCACTAGGGGATCAGGCGAGCAGCGAACTGCCTTCTCCCCGTACGTCTGCGGAGCCTGCATTGCACGACCTCACTCACTCTGTTGGCGCGGGAGCCCTGGCGGCCGGGCGGCGTCGTGGCGAATGTTCAGCGATCCCACAGCGCCGACTCAATCGGCAAGACGTAAGCCCGGGGGGGGGTTTTAGTGGGGTAGGCCCTCCAGTCTGGAGGAAGAGTCCCCACATAACCCCTGAGTCACCCTGGGCTCAGGGGTGTCTATAAAGATGTCCTCCCCGTCAAAAAAAAGGCTACACACCGTTCCCCCCGAAGGTTCCCGCCTTGTCGTGGCGGGGGGGCTCTAGTAGCCGTGGTCGATTTCATCCCACGGTGAAGCTAAGAGGAACCCAAAACACAACAACAACAGCGTACCCGTACCCCCACCTACAGCGGAGCGGAGGAACACTCCGGGGGTTTAGAGCGGTCGGGTTGCTCCCCTTCAGGATTCAGCCCAGTTCCACGTAACCCCGGCTCTGCCCCCGCAGGGCCAGGGTATCTGTAAGCAGATTCCCCCGGATTAACAAAAAATAAGGCTACACACCGTTAGGTTGTAGGGCTACACTATTAGATAAAATCATTGGATCGACTCTTGAGGTCTCACCGTTAGGTTTAACAGGGTAGTTTACATTTTTATCTTAACTTTACCATAATTTCATGCACAACAAGCGGTTGGTGTTTGCTGCATACAACACCACACACACATTGACAGACAAGCACTACCATCACATTATTACCTAACCGCACGATGTTCAACCATAGAGCCTTACGTGGGAAACTCACGGTGCACTTATCGCGTTTGGCACGTCTGAAAATATTTTTCATACAAGTTTTACGTTAACTTACCTCATATTCTGGTACAACACCAGAATAAATTTCATAAAATTCTCTAGCATCGTTGATGTCAAAAGTAAACATGCCTTGGGCAGAGATATATAAATTTTTGGACGTAGCAATGTGTTCTACAATGCTGCCCACGTTGCCGTCTAAGAGGACATGTGGCTTTATAATACAGCAGGTGCAATCTTTGAGGGTTGCGCGGTAAGGAAGTATTGGTATGCCATTTTCATATCCAAAAAAATTGTGAAGCATCTGCAACAGAATCACTGCATATATAATTGCCAAGTAAGAAACAAATTAAATTACAGACAGCTCCATAACTTAAGTGGAATTCAGCTTAACGAACTACTTTTTCACACTATTCAATTACTTTCATAGTCACATGAAGAGAATGGATGATAGTAGGCAACAAGTTTCCGAAGCGATCTGATGACGTAGAGAAAACGAAAGAGATTTGTCAGGATCGTAATAAGTACTCTAAGGGACCCGCAACAGAATCGTAATAAGTGGAAGTCAATAGTTGGTACAGTGCAGGCGTAATGATTCTGTAAGGTGTAAGAAAACCTCGTTGTATTTCAAAATTAGCTTCAATGTCATACCTCCTTTACAGTTTCCTCAGTTTCGGAACCATGAGCAACGTTTCTTAGCATATCTTCGCCTAAAAGCTTCCTAAGAGTACCAGGTGCCGCATATTTTGGGTCTGTCGCTCCTAAGCAAGCACGCCATTTGTTTATCGCATCTTCAGCTTCAAGTTCCAAGCCAATCACTTCACCAGATGTAATGTAGTCTATTATAATTCTACAAAAAGTACGAAAGTGCCGTGACTTGGGGTAATTGTAAATGGATTAACTATAATGGGCTACAGTTACCTTTAATCATGTGGCAATGAAAATTATAACAATCAAATCTTAAAGTAGATCTATATCCAAAAAGTGACCAAAGCTACAGCACCTAAGTGCCAGCACCTCTTTTAGAAGAGTCGATAGGCACTCTACACAAGCATGTACAATGTTCGTCCACAACTATACTTTCCATCACATGAAATTGTGAACGAACGTCATTGACTTACAATTATATGGACGTCGGGTCTGCGCTAAAAAGTGTCTGAACTTATAGGGCGTTAAAATCGTATACAGAGCGTCATTCACGCTTGTCTTCGTTTGTTCGACTGACAGCGAAGCAAGCAAAATTAGAGAGTACTGCGATGACATTACAATTTAAATTCAACGTTGTAGCTTTTTCATATTCCTGTACATGTCACTACGTTTAAATAGGTTGACTTGGGACATTTTTTTCGTGGTTTTTGTATTAGACCCGTCGTCCATTTATTTGTAAGTCAATGACAAACGTGGACCTATTTCAAATTTAAAAATTGTGTGTCATATCAGAGACAATTAAATTTGTTTATAACCAATATCTATGCTACTGTGTAAAGTCTCACAAGTTAATGTTATCCCTAGACAAATCGCGAAATTTTGAACTAGGATCTTCTAATTCCAACACAAATATTGACGGCGTCTTTGCCGGGTGCAAAAGTAACTTGTGAGCCTTGAACTAACGGCATCTCTTTAACTCCAGATAAATGTCTGTACATATTCCTTGCCAAGTCTAAGCCCAATTTGGCGTTCTTCATTTGTAAGATACGAAAGCCCTTTTTCATAATAAATGTTAAGACTTTTCCATGTAGCGCAGGCGATATTGGTTTGATCATCGCGAATGTACTGAAATCGAAATTATTATTAAGGACTGCACATCCAAATTGTCACTAAAATAAACTGGATTTTTATCTGAACAAGTAGCAGGGCTTGCTCATTCAAGGTACATATGATGCCGGCGCCATGACTGAAAAGCATTGGCCTAGGATCCCGAAATCCATAACCGGCCATGGAACCATAAGACTGACAATTTTTAAAAACACAGTTAAAAGACCAATGTGGCAACCACGTATAAATTCTAATTCTGTACAGGTGTACCATAAATATTGTGAGAAAATCACCGAAAAATAATTGTTTAATACATTTGCGTTGTTAACGTTTACAACAACAGCTTAAAACCCTCCTACGGTTAAGTGCATACGTGGTGGTATAACAAAATGAAACTGAACAGCTCATTGAATTAATTTTTGCCTACGCGCCAATAAACGGGACCTGTAAACATCGCTCATGTAATTGGGTTTTGAGAGAACCAATGACCCACAATTTAATACCAATATCTATACTCTAGCCAAATTCGATGTAGAATAAATGTCAACAAACAAACATACGATTTTTAGGGTTTTCACTTCAGACTGTTTAACAGTTACCACAATCAAGTTCTTGGGTTTTCGCGATTGTTACACATGAAACTATTTTTCCGGATTTAAATCGCGTATATCTGTTTTCTCAAACAAAGCAACGTTTCGGGTCCTTTATAGGTCCCATGGCTGGGTAAAGGGCCGGAAACGTTGGAATATACGCGATTTGGATCCGGGAAATAGTTTCAGTTACCACAATTTCAAAATTTTTCCCCAAAATTTGATTACGATTTTGTTCAATCACTAAGCAAATAAATAAGATTTGAAACCAACATGATAATAAAATTATCAGTAATTAATTGCTTGTAAAACTGTGTTATCTCTAATTTTTTTATTTGAAGGGAAGATTTCAAACATTTGAATACGAGTAGTAATTCAAGTTCAGAATCATAAACTGGTCCTGGATATGGAGTAGACTATTATAAAATAAAATATTACAATTTTGTTTCTTTTCGTCTACCGTTACACACTATTCGACAGTAGGTATGGGTTAACAGGTATCAAAACGATTATTTTATTCATAAATAATACGTATAGGTACTTTGCAAACTTGATAATAATTGACCATGTAAGTATTACTTCTACTTAACCCAATTATCTACTTACCAATTTAAATTGCAATTAGGAGAGCATGCCGTGGACAGAGCTAGCCTCAATAACGTGCATTGCGAAAAAATGTTCTTTACACCTACCATCATTGGTGCGCCTAGCAATTTTTTGTTATTAAACATACTATGTCGAATTTGGCTAGATTCTATTTCAGATACCTCTAATCTATAAAAAGTAATTTCTGACACATGAATTTCAAAGTGAATCTATTCGTCCATAATAAAACCAAAATTACGAATTTCTAATCGCCAGAGTATCTCCGTAACCTGCAACTGTCGGTGCTTGGTTGGTTGTATCTAACATCATATTATACTAAGACATTCTAAATCCTGATTTAATTTATGCACGGCTATATAAGATGACATTGTGTATATGAAATGTAAATATATATTATCATCAGCCTGTGTACAGTGTTCTACCACTGTAGATAAAGACTACAGGGCTCAAAACTGAACCTCATATAACGTCACATGACCTTGGCTATAGATTAGATCCGCTCTGTTAAAAATTCCGACTTACTGAACTAATTTTTCAGGTCACTATCGAACCATGAGATGACTCACTCAATATATAATAGTAGTTTTGATGGCAGCGTGCTACGATTTATGCAGTCAAAGGCCTGGGAAATTCTGGTAGTGTCAACAGACACGTTATTCATTGTCTAGCGCGGATAGGTTGATCATAGCAGTGTACTATGCTTTTTCGAAATCTAGACTATTAGGAGAAACTTCGTTAGTTCTTCGAAAGTTTCTTACTTTTTTACGTATTTGTTTTCCAGTTGTTTTTTTAAATATTTTGGCATATTTTTCAATATTTTTTTTTTTGGGAATGAGTTGGGTTTTAATCTTTCATGATACTACTTTGTTAGAAACATGTTAGTTTCAACGGACTCGACTTCAGTGATCACATTGTTTTCAGGACCTCAATTTCTTCCTTCTTCGTCACCAACGAAATTAACCAACTATAAAATCGCTCCTCTATATTATTCACAACCCCTAAGCCGCTAAATCTCGTCGAGTCTATTATAATCAGATCCATCACTTTGCAGATTTCTGCGAGTTATTTTCGTCGGTGCTGGTGTCACCTTCATGTTTATTAGGCAAGTGATAAATGCATATTGGCTAAGCTCATGTATGAAATCGACGCGTATGTCTATGTTATCCATGTCAGTACTCACAATATTAATCAAAGTTTTACAATCTTCGTGAAATCCATGGGATTTGTATTATTAAATAGTTCAATTTGTTGAAAGTTTATTAGTATATAATCGATAAGTCTTATTTAAATCGTTTTTCAATTTTCTGTTTCTCGAATTGATTCAGATGTTAATCGTTCGTCGTAGTCCAGCTATTGACCGCAAGATGGCAGCACGTTGAATAAAATTTCAATATAAAATTAAAACGTCGTAAGTTGCAATAAAAGTATTGAACTTTCAACGATATGCCAACGACGTAAAGTTTAAATTATATTAACAATCCAGAATTTGTTACATCTTTTTAAATTAGAAACTATGACCAATCGTTATCAAGATTTCGTAGTGTTTATCATTTTTTTGAGTACGTTTTGGCGACTGCGGTTCTGGCAGTAATCGAGGCTTAGTCACTTCCATTGTTTTTTTTTCTTCCGTGATGGTAATAGTATGCCGCATCATAATAATTGATTGATAATACGCACTTACTTAAATACAATTATTAATATAATATGGTTGTAGTTTTTAACTAACTAAATCTAAGAGGGACAGTTCACAATATGTTTACCTTTTAACGTTATTAAACAAAGTTTTACGAGTCAATGGTGCACAATCCTTTAATAATAACAGTTTGCTGAAAATGTTAACCATATTGCCAATGTGAAGATTACGCTTATCCACACCCTTGATTTGTACACGCCTAATCATCGCCTTGCCTTTCTCAACGTCAATTATTTGAACAGAATTGTCGAAGGGGAAGAAATTCAAGACCAGCTCCTTGATATCGTCCACTTCACTGTCGTACATTTCACACAAAAACGTGTATTTGTCGAAGTAGTCATACGTCTGTAACATTGATTGATAGTTTAATACTAAAAATTGTAAATAGATTTCGAAATTGTGAAACCAAATTCTCCTTAAATTCACGATATTAAACAACTTAAGTTTCAAATTCCATAGTATTATTGCTCCTTTCATGCATCCGTTTAGTGGTTATTCGTTACACGGGTGCACTAAAAGAGCCCCGCTTGATGTACTATCCATTTTCTGTACGTCTGGCGCACCCTGAGGAACAATCGGCGCGTACCATTCGTCGATTGGCAAATACTTTCCCAACAAGATAAAAAGTGTATGCCAATGCCACCGATACGATAAGTAGACTATTCAAAATCCACTTTATTATTAAATGATTATCACTAGTATCAGGTTTCTTACCACGGTATGACTTCTTTTTATTTTCCCGATATTTCGGAACGGTTGCAGATGACAGCTTTAAGAGCAGACATATCTATCTACCCTCTTGCGCTGTCAACCCGTGACCATGGCGCGTGCAACCGTTCCGAAATATCGGGAAAATAAAAAGAAATCATACCGTGGTAAGAAACCTGATACTAGTGATAATCATTTAGTGAATAACCACGAAAGTCTTAAAATCCACTTCATTATTGCTCCTTTCATGCATCCGTTTTACGTAGACGTACAATTCTTCCCTGTATATCTGGCGCACCATTCGTCGATTGGCAAATGCTTTCACAACGATGGCAAGCATTGGTAGTGTATACCATTGATAAGATAAGAAGACTAGACGATTATCACTAGCTACAGGTTTCTTGCCATTATCAAAAAAAAATGTGTGCCAATTGTAGTGTATGTGGATATGCTCATGATTTGTCTCGAGCACACACGTCACATGACGGCTGTAGGAAGAGAATCACTCTGTGTACGACCGACCGTCAGCCCGGAAGCAGGTCGTGGTGGTACGTAGGCAAGCCAAATACCAATACGCTATTATTTGTAGGAGCGGATTTGTTCTAAAAGCATTTACCGTTCCAGTCAACCCTTGATAATAAAGCGTGTAACCCGATCCGACATTACAGATAATCATAAATATTAAAATAGTTTCCCGTCTGTTCTCTCGCAAATCCTATCGGATAATTTCACACACCCGTTTGTAATGTACTTTTCAACAATATAAACGGCTTACCCTTCGATCTTCATCCATTTTCAAGAGAATAAATATTCTAGTTGATCCTAAGTGGTCTGGTAGATATAGATATATTAAAAATGTTACTTGGAATCTGAAATAAAATAAGTATATAAAAGCCTTATACGGTATTTTCACATTCGTACTGGTCGCGAGGCGAAAGTCGAAGTGAAAGAGAATCACCACATTTATTAACACGGGTTTGAGACGGTCAGGAAAAGAGCGAAAAAGGCATTGGATTTTCGCGTCGACGAGCGATCCAAATGGAAGCTACTGCATGTATACGGGGATGTTTGTAAAATGCTAACAACCTCGCGGAACTGTTATTTCTAACATCATAAACAACAGTTTTGATCCATGACCTTTTACAAAACATAATAAATTTACCAAAAATAAACTTTAAAGTTTTTGTTGTACTGTCTGGTACTTTTAAGATAGTAAAGTATAGAAGTAAGTATTTCATAGTAAGGTATTAAATTTAAAGGTTTTACTGGTTTTGAGGTTAGTTTTCTCTATCTGATTTCGGTGGCAATTTTTACTATTTAAATATTCTATTTAAATGATCGTTTTAAATTTGCAAAAGCAGCAGACAAAAATCTAAACGATCATCTTTTCTCATCGATCATGTTTAATGTTGAACCTTTTTCTCCGAGACATAAAAAAAATTAAATGAATGAATTTTTGAATCAGTTCTGAGCTACGCAAAAAAATTTTTGAGTTTTTGTGTTTGTTTAGAATTAACTTTGAAAGTTTTATGTTAGGCCTCAAAACTAAGACAAATAAACATTAAACATAAAACTTAGATACTTGTATTAAAACTTAGTAAATGTTGATTATATTTGTAAATGAATAAATAGTATGTTAATTATAACACATTTGTCCTGAAAACATGTTCGAAAACGCAAGCACATTGGCTTCCGGCACTCGCCGGCCGCTGCCGCGGCATGCTCGATCGGCTCGTCCTGTTTTTTTATTATAGTTAGCTTATTCCTAACTTAACCTACTGAATCGAGAGCACAACCAAGCAAGATTTATTAGGAGATCAATATAAAAAGATACACTGCTTATAAATGCCATTACTCGTTAAAAGAAAAGACAAATAATAAAAACGAGGACCAAATATTATTTTTGAATACCGAATATTAATTTAGTATGCTTAAACATAATGATAGCATTACCTTGAATGCAGTTCATTTATAATTTATTCGTAGATCAACTAATATAGATGGAACAATTAATACGTATATCGAACATAGAAAAATATCGTTTATTAAAAAAAGTGCACATTTACAATAGATCAATCATATTTTTGAGGATCAAATAATATTATCCCATTATTTAATATTTCACAATAATATACTTAAATACTTTATTAGTAAAAATTGCCACCGACATTAGGTAGATAAAGCTAGCCTGAAAATTACCCAGATATTTACATTTAGCACGATTGTGTGAATCCTGTAATTACCCAACTTTAGGATAGTCAGATCTAAATCATAAATGTATGAAACATCTATGACCTGAACAAACTTCCGTAAAAATGATGATGATGGATCATGATTAACAAACCAGCAGCAGTCCATCAGAGACAACTGATGAACATTAGCCTTAAGCGACACACCTGTCCATGACAGTTGCAGTCCCACTCATAGCTGAGGAGCACCGCCACTGCGCCCATCACCCTGACATATAAGTTAAAAAATGCCATGTGCCTGTAATTTCACCAGGACCCTTGACCTTCACAACCAAAATGCTGTAATGCTCACATTACTGCTAATAGGTAAGGTGGCAGTACTTCCCTGGACGAACTCTTTCACAGGGGAGCTCTACTGCTACTAAATATGTACGTCATTTCACCCAGTCTTTAATCGCTGAATAATTGTTCTCGTTCGTAGGTCTTCTCTTCTTGCTTATTGGTAGTGAGAGCCCTTTATAAGATTGCGCAAGAATCAAGTTCTCAGCTTATTAGTAAATTAAGGGATTGTGGGAGCAAAATCTGACATTGACATAATTATGACAATATTGGTTTCCATTTTTTTTTTTTTTTTTTTTTTTATAAAATATAGGTGCGCATTTGACCTCCATCTCACCTGATGGAAAGTGACGATGAGGTCGACGATGGAGCATGCACACCTAAATAATGCCTATTCACTCTCGCCTTGAAAAGGTCCAAGTTATAACGTTCAGGGAACAAGTCTGCAGGCAGGGAATTCCACTCCATAGCCGTTCGCCATATAAATGTGGAAGCGTAACGCTTCGTGCGAATCTTTGGAATATCCACAACATAGGGGTGGAACCCAAGCCTACGCCTAGTCCCCCGGTGATGGAAAGGGGAAGGCGGAATTAAATCATGTAATTCCATCGCACACTCTCCGTGATATATCCTGTAAAATACCGATAAGCAGGCAACTTTACGGCGGTGTTCAAGGCTCTGCAGCTTCGCCTCAAGATAGATTTACGTATTGGGCCAAAGTGACAATTGTTTCGCCTAATGTTCGTTCGTGTCAAAGTGTACCAAAAAGATCTAACCAAGTTCATACTTTTTTGAAAACTGAAAGCCGCTGTAGAAATTCAAGATTATAAAGAGCTACTGTTAAATAATAAACTGGCATTGATTTTTTGTCAACAATTTTATTTAAATAAAAAATCAAATAATTACGATTTGTCAACAACCACGTAGCACAAAAACACTTGCTTTGATGATGGCAGGAAATGTATGTTTTCTGGTGTAACATACAGGTTTTTTGTTACAAATTAATTAATGGGATAAAAAATAAAAGAATATTTTGGCAATGGCGTTGTCAAATCAAAGTACAAAAAAAATTGAAGATTTGGCTTGATGGATTTATTCCGATGCCGTGAAACTAATATTTAAAAAAAATGGTGCAAAAACCATAGTAAATAAATCGAAATTTATGAATATTAATATTCGCATTCAGTCCTATCATTCTACCAATTTTAAAGACAAAGTAAATAAAATAATAACTAGTACAAAGAAAATAACGACAAAAAATCATAAACACCTGTTCACGCTGTTCGTCTCTGATCACGAGAATATTACGTTTGTACCCGGGCTCAGTTTGATTTTAAGAAATCAGATGTATGCTTTCAGTGTTTTCAACCGTAAAGTGGGATCTAGTACTTGCGAGATGTGCTTTGTAGTAAAAGCAATGTAAGTTAATAAATAACACAAATCTGTTACGTCACAATAAATAACCTCTCAAGTGATGTTGATTACTTAAAGATTTCAATAAATTATCTTTTTTTTAAGTGAAATTTGAAACTCTAGCTTTTTAGAGCTAGCACAACAGGGCGTGACTTGCGTAAGAGCGACATAAAGCGCGATATACCACTATTCTCGCATAGAGCTCCCTTATTTCACTCTGTCGTGCTATCCTATTTATTTTGTATATAAAATCTGTATTTATTTATTTTTATCTACACACATATCATAAACTCTGTATAATGTCTTGAAAAACCTTAACTTACGACCAGTATAAAGGTAAACTGTTTTGTTAGAACAAATTTCTTATCTGTGAAAAATAACATCGAATTCGATGTTAATAATACATTCAAATTTCGAACTCCTTTGAAAAACAAAACAATTTGATTGGACCTCAATTCTAATATCAGTCGAGATGAAGTTTTATTCGAAATGAAATGTCAAAAGCAAACAATTTTGATTTTTTTTTAATTTATTAAGGCTTTGGCAAAGCCATCAGCCTAAACATGAAGATTAATTATGTTTCTGTTAATATGGCCGCCAGAAAGAGGATAAGCAATTTGAGGCGGCGTGCTTGGATTGACTCGGGATTCCGTAAAACGGGCCGATACGGGTATTTCAGTTCAAGATTCGTATAATTTCGATCGATCTTCGATTCGAATCTTCGATCACTATCCTATTCCACTTTAAACTAGATTTCACAAAATAATTGAAAATCAAAATAAAAACGACACTTTTCTCTCCAAAAGGCCCAGAGCGAATCCAAACAATTTTGACAATGTCACACGTTACTTGATATCGAACGATATGATAGTTGGGGCCAATTCTAGTTTGTCTATAAATTAAAAATAAAAACTACGGTTGTGTGCTTAGAGGATGGAAAAAAAATAAAAGAATTCCCGTGTTTGACACAGACCAATGTAATGCTATCTCTTTTGGCTTAAGACGGCACGTAATAGTTAAACAAAGACAATAATATGTTTATGTTTTCGACGACGAAATGCATCATATACATATAACGTCTGATTTATATATGTCAACGTAACATGTCCTTTAGTTTCCATAGTCTAAGGTTGTGTGACATGCGTGAGAAAAGTTTTTATTTGCCGCCATTTCGCCAGTCGTAACATGCGGTTCCTGAACGCACCATAGAGAGCTTATAATATGTGTATAGATAAAGCAGTGTATCTGACTGTACGTCATTAGGTATTAAAACACTCGTGAGATGTTTTTATGACAATAAACCCACTCGTGTTTTCATGCCTTTCATTATGTAGCAGTCACATAAACTACTAGTTTCTACTACTTTTTTTATGATAGTGACGGGATGAACAAGTCATGCGCTTGATGGTAAGCGATACGCCTGTCCGTAAAACTCGCAGTGCCACTAAGAGCTTTTAATCGCAAAGATCTTAGAGGCACTGCCACTGTGCCCGTCACCCTGAGGCATAAGTTGACAAGTCTCTTAACCCTTCGAAACCGGAATGCAGTACGAAGACTGCTGATCGGGGAGAGTGGAAGAAAAATACATGTTGTGCCACTGCCCACTTAGCGTGGGGTAAGGACAGGAAGAAGAAATAGAAAAACCATCTCATTCCTTCACATTATATTTTAAATTGTAACATTGCTATACTAATAACATGAAATAGTCTTTAAATACTTATAAATCAGTGCAGAAAACTCACAAAAATATGTAAAAAGAACGTAAAAAGACGTCGAATTTTAAAAAATCACAAAAAATTACAAAATGCGTAATTGAAAAAGTTCCTTCGGTAAAGTTTCTCTCCTAATGAAGAGTTTTGGACATAAATTTTAAAAGCTCTACTCGTTATAGGCGTGAAACCGGTAAGTGCCAGACCTTTCGACAAGGAATCGCATTAAGGCAGTCAGAAAAAGTTTTATTTATTTATTTTTATTTACATACTCACGCCCTTAGATTCCCGTTGGGGTAGACAGAGAGGATCGATCGCCACTTAGCACGATCCATACAAACCTCTCTTGCTTCACTTACATTCATCAATCTTTTCATACATGCCATTTTGTTCTTTTCACTACGCACTCCAGCCTGTTTAAGAACATTCTCTTTGATCTGAGAATGTTCTTAGTGGCCGTCCTATTCCAATGATGCCTTCCACGTTAGCTCTATACATTTCTTTTGTTAATCTACATTCATTCATCAACTCCATGTGCTCTTTCAAACCATATTGTCCACGGATCACAGTATTCTTCACTCTGTCACACAGCCGCACACCACATATTCTTCTGAGGAATCTCATTTCAAAAAGGCTGGGATCCGAAGTGACAAGAATAAAAGAAGTTGTATGAAAAGGGTAGCTGATGCATGTGAGGCTCGAGAGACGTGTCAGGATAGAGCAAAGTGGTGTTCCGTGGTCTCTGCCTATCCCTCCTGTGGGACTAGGGCGTGAGCTTATGTATGTATGTAATCTAAAATCAAAGTGAAACGCACAACAGCTTTTACGCTTTTCTTGCATGGATATACAACAACATACCTATCATCACGGCTGTCTCCCACCGGGTCGGCGGAGACCATGGAACCGTACCTGCTACGCTCCTGACAAACCTCCTTCGCGTCCTCCACTCCCACCAATCTCTTCATTCATGTACGTTTATTCTTGTTACTTTTAACCCGGCCTTATTATCAGCTTATGTATTTCTGCTAGAGATGAAACGGATATCCGGTAACTATCCGGTATCGGCCTATTTTCACTATCCGGCCTATTTTTACAATCAGGCCGGATACCGGACAGTAGAACAATATCCGGCCCGTACCGGATGAAATACCGGATACGGAAATACCGGATGTTTAAAATTATGAAAAATTCATAATTCGTACGCCAAATAAATTGATTTATTGACCAAAGTTCATAGTAATATGATTGACAGCAACTACAGGATCGTTGACAATCTGTTTATTACTTGTGACTTTAAGAACTATGAAGTTAGATTAACGTGCAACGCCACTGATAATGCTGTGTCAGTCGATGAGTACCTCCCAAAAATAAACGTCAGAGTCGACACGCTAAGAAGAAGAACGTTATCTGTAAATCTACTACTCAAATTTCAATAAATGCAAATTATAGTGGATGAAGACCAGTTTTTCTGTATTAAGTGGTAAAAGTTGGTTCTATTTATTTTCACAAACGAGACCAGCTTCAGAGGACAGTTTATCACTGCAAACTCTTTGCAAACTTTGCTAAATTTTAAGTACTACTTGTTATTGCCAGGCTACTAAATGAAAGGATCGCGATCACGATCGATTTGAACTTGTTTTCGTCGGTTGTTGTCTTCAAGTACAATGTGCACCTACTATAATGAAACGTGGAATTAATTAATTTTTTTTTTGGCAAATCTGGTATCAAGGCTATTTATATATTAGTTAGATCACAAACAAATAATTAATTAAATAAAATTACATTCGGCATAACATTAAAATATTGCCAAATTTGCGATTTCTTTTCACTGTTAACATTTTTCTGTTATGTAATTTTTGTATTATCTAATAAATTAATCGTTTTTATAAAAACAAAGTGACCACAACAAATCAAATCGTCAAAGTCAATGTGCAATCATTCATTAATCAAACAATTGTATCCGTATACCGGTCGCAACACGTTTACGGCAGTGGGTCAGATATCCGTCGGCCGGATATCCGGCTATGCGGCCTAGGTTCTCGCCGAATATCCAGTATCCGGTCAAATCACTATCCGCGTCATCTCTAATTTCTGCCGCCGAGCAGTAATGTGAGCATT